TCTTAGAATGTAGGTGGTGAGATACTCCTAATGTACACAGACGAGTGAAATTAAGGGGTCAGAATGGGGCGGGAGGCTCCAGATGAGGAGTCTAGTGTAGAATCTGTGAGGTGAGGTTAGGGAGGCAGTTAGAGACTTGGGAAAGTGAAAGTCATGTGGTGGGCGGGAACCTTAAGGTCACAGCATGGTGGGCACATCAAGGCTGTGATAATGGTGGGCAGGGACCACACCCTCAGACTGTGGTTCTCAGAGCTGAGAGACTTGCACCTGGACTGGAAGATTACTGTTACAGTTACTTTGGAATGATGAGTAACCCAGAGAGAATCTCCACCTGGGACAGCGTTGGGATGCATCCCGCGCTCCTGTCCCAGTGCAGGTGAGCAAAGTGCACAGAGTGGGTGTTTGATGCACATCATCTTCAGGGCATTTCTGAGGGGGGAAAAACACACATGATAATCCCTGACTGGAAACTTGGCAGCCATTGGGCTGTTGCTCTTTGTGTGGGTTAGGGAATCAGAGCCCATTCTACTAAAATGACGTTTAACATCTTTAGGTGCAGACTTGCAGTGATGGTGCAATGAATGAAGATAGGGGAGGTTTTCATTAATGGTCAGCTAGGTCAGAAGAAAGTGTTAGTCTTTGAACCAAATTCTAGAAAACTTGTGGTGTATTCAGCTGGGAAAATACACACACTCTTGAAATATAATTTAATGGGGGGAAATGTACTTTAAGTTTCTTTTTACATAGCACTTTGGACAGAGTTTTGGTTACATGTCCTAGAGTGACACATATTCTCTGAATATATATATATATATATATATATATATATATATATATATATATAGATATAGATATAGATATAGATATAGATATAGATATAGATATAGATATAGATATAGATATAGATATAGATATAGATATAGATTTCAGAGAGAAAGAGAGAGATAGAAACATCCATGATGACAGAGTACCATTGATTGCCTGCCTCCTGAACCCCCCATACTGGGGATCAAGCCCACAACCCCGGCATGTGCCCTGACCAAGAATCGCATTGTGACCTCCTTGTTCATAGGTTTTGATGCTCAACCACTGAGCCACACTGACTGGGCGCAATATATATATTTTTAAATGCTTTAAGGTGAGTGGTATTTTCTGGCGATGAAATCATCCTAATCAGAAACATATCAGACATTGTGAAAAATCTCAATGCATTCCAGGCACTGTGCCAGGCGCTATACATACATTCCCCCCAATCCACCAGCCCTACAAGACAGGGCTTAGCAAAGCCCCTTCATAAATGCAGAACCGGAGGCTCACGGAGTTCGCTAATGTACCTGAGTTCACACAGCTAGTAAGTGACAGAGCTGGGACCAGAACCCCAGGTCTGGATTTGTCCAAAGCTCACAGGGGCCCGCTCCTTGCAGCTGGCCATGAGTCAGCTAATCCACTTTTGTCTGCTGCTCCAAAATGTATCTCAAGTGATCAAAAGAAGGACCCGGGGACCAAAAGAGTTGATTGAGTGACATAACCAGAAAAATAAAAATCAGAAATGAGTAAGACTTGAGTAAAAGCGATGAGATCATAGCGAGTGACAATATGATCACTGACCAATGTGAAGCCAGATGCCCCCAGAAGCCCAGTCAGGACTCACAAACATCTGGCTCCACCCCCTACATAGAACGTGAATCCTTTGCAAATTCCCTAAGTCTGGCTGCTGAAGAGAAAGAATGTATCAGCTTTCTTTCCCCTGACAACCGTTGCCTAATCTTACATCAGTCACAAAACGGGAGCCATTTTCTGCAAGATTTGCAACAGGGAAATTGCTCAAGGGTTTGCAGGGAGGTGACATTTCCCAGGGGGCCTCTAACCAAGAGACAGAAGCCAAGACGAGGACTCCCGTGAAAGAGGGCTGAGGAACCAATCACGCCACAGTGTAGGGGCCAAGCAAAAACCCAGGAGGGTGACCTCCGTGCAGTAGGAGTCCGAGGCTCTGACAGACATGGTGCAGGCTGCCAGTGAGGAGCAGCAGCAGGATTCAGCCAGGAGAGTAAGGTCCTGGAGACGCGTCCCTGTTGGCTCTTCCTGGAGGCCCGGAAGGGCCATGATCACGTGGTAAACCCTGACTCCAATCGGGAATTCTCGGCGAGAGGCATTGTGGTGTAAGAGGAGCAGTGTCAGAAAGCGGAGGGCGGAGTGACCAGACGGGCCATCTCTCAAAGTGAGGGCCCTGGTGTGGACTGACGGTAGCCCCACAGCGTACAGGAGGTCTCACAAAATCTCCTCGCTGTCCTCCCAGCGGAGCCCCTGGCGCGCATGTCAGGCTGATTAGAGGCTGGGAGGCCTCACGGACGTCAGGGCCTCTGACTAACAGGGACGTTTTCCACTTTGCAGAGGGAGGGAATGCGACTTTAAGAAGAATGCAACTATGAGAAGGTCCTGAGTGGTGTGAGGGCACCCCCAAACTAGAAGGGGCCAGAGAGTCCAGCACTGAGCTGAGCCCTGGAAAACACAGAAGAGCAGGAATCCACGCATTCCACCCGTGTATTCTAGGGGAGGGACCCAAGGCCAGTTGTGCAGAAACAGGAAGCTTGTTCGTCACACAACATCCTCACGCGAGAACACGCAGTGCTAAGCGAGAGCATGTCTCTCTCAAAGGGAGGCTCCCGCGAGAACACGCAGTGCTAAGGGAGAGCATGCCTCTCTCAAGGGGAGGCTCCCGCAGCACCGCCCCCTTCCTGCCTGGGAGACCCAGGCCCCTGCTTCAGAGAAAGGGCGTCCTCACTGCCTGCCTCACTGGGTCTCAGGGGAGGGCAGACTTTGTGGACGCCAGACCCACTTGTGTCGGTAGAGGGAGGCGTCCAAGCTCTGCAGACATAAAAGTGGGGATCCTGAGTGAGGACCTGGGGCCCAGGGACCCTAATCCTTCAGGCATCCGGCATCAGGCGCTCCCTGGACAGCCCTGCGGGAAAGGACCCACCAACTTCTACTTGGGCGTTGAGGACCTTCCAGCCATTACTCCTGCCTAGAGGTTGCCTGAGGACGGCTTTGAAGGACTGGCCTGGCGTCAAGGTGGGAACCGCGGAAACCACACCCCCCCAAAACAAAGGCAGGCCCCCCAACCCTTCCCTGCTGTGAGCCCCACAGGCCCCAGCACAGCCCTCATACTGCGGCCTGGAAAGTTTTTGGGGGAAGGCCTTGGGAGGGAGTAGGCCCGACCCTATTGACCGAGGACCCCTGGGCCCCAAAGGGATTCAAGATGGAGGCCGAGTGCTTCAGAGCAGCCCTGTCTGGGTGAAAGGCCGCGCAGGGCAGCAGCCCCTGTACTCAGCTCTAGGGACCGCCCCGCCAAGGAAATAGATAAAGAGCGACCCAGCCTCCTCTCTGGCGGTCACCCCGCCAAACTCAGCAAAGGCTGCCGGGAGCAGAGCGGGCAGGCCGCGTGCGGTGACCCTTACCCCTCAGGTGGTGTCTCAGAGAGGCCAGGGCCTTGGGGTAATGGAGGAGGGTACAAAGAGGGAGGGCCCCGGTCTCTACCAGGGTCCAGGGCTGTTACACTGAGGGAGGCTGTGGGACTCCTCCCACAAAGGAGGGGGCCAAATACAGTCGCAGCCCAGTGTTCACCCCTGGGAGGCTAGGGCTCATCGCCATGATGAGTTGCACTCGCTTCCTCCCAGGCCATCTCGGGGAGGAGACAGATCCGGTCAAAGGGGGCAACCGCAGGGCAGCGGAGGGAGGATTTCGTGTTAAATTCGTGTTGTGCCAGGTTTCAGGGACAGACCGTTGAGGACTGTGGGCATGTGCCACCGTGTGCCAGTGGGGCCACAAGGAATCCTCCCTGCCTTAGTCAGTGTGCCTCCGCGTTAGATGGTCGGCCTGCACCAAAGGGTTCTGGAGTTGGTCATCGGTCAATGGGCAGGTACCTAGGTGGAAGGTGGATCCCTTGCCTGGTTTGGTTCATGAGGGAGCAACCAATCGATGTGTTGCACTCATGTCAATGCCCGCCTCTCTCTCTCTCCCTCTCTCTCTCTCTCCCTCTCTCTCTCTCTCCCTCCTTTTCTTCCACTCTCTCAAACAAAAAACTTGGACAAGGGAATTAAAGACTGAAAGAAGTTGGCTGTTTGTTTTTTTTCTGGCCTAGTAAGTAGGGGAAAGGATGAGAAAGATGTGTAAGGTAATAAACGTATTAACCAGTGGGAAAATAAATAAATAAATAAATACAAAAAAAAAATACGTGCTATCTTCCAGTGAGGATTAACAAAACAATCAAAACAAGAATCCTGTCTATTTTCACCACTGGTGCACCTCAAGGATAGATGTCAGGCAGGAGTGCCCATCAGCCCTCACTAAGGGTTAATAGTGAAATTAGTGCCTTGGTCTGAGGGGAGTGGTACCAGGCCAGCAGAGGGAGAAATCATGACATCAGCAGGAGTCCATTTGAGACCTCAGAATTGGGTCCTGTGTGGCTTGACTGACAACTGGGGATCCAAATGAACTCATGACATAAAGGACCCCAACAAATTCTCAGCACTAGGTATCCCCTGATGGGAAGGTGAACTAAAGTTTCTCTCCAGTTCTTTCTCCTGGGTCCCAGGGAGCATTTTGGTGGCAGCATTAGAGCAGCAGAGGGTAGGTTGTCTAGGCCCTTCCTATTATTGGTACAGTAATACTGAGGACAAAGAGGGATGATGCCACATGCCAGAACAAGGGAGGCTACACTGAAATCACCTACTGTCACAAGAGTAAATTCAAGGCAGGGCTGATAGTACATAGTGTGGATTTGACTCTAAAATTTATCTGGTTTCTCAGTGGGATTTTTAAGGGCCAGACTGACCAGGAAAACAGACTTGTGGGATCCTAGAGTAGTGCCCTCTAGGAAGCCTGAAGAGGCACCCTTCAGGAAATGCAAGGTGAAATCTTCCTGTTAAAGGTGCTCAAATTACCTTATTCCCCACCCACTAGGTGCCCAAATCACCTGTCTGCTGTCCTAAACAAGAGCCATCATGCCTCGTGGTCATAAGAGTAAGCTCCGAGCTCGGCAGAAACGCCGCCAAAACAAAGCTGAGGACCCAGGTGTTAAGAGTGCTCAGCCCCCTGCAAGAGAGGAAGGAGAGGCCGCTTGCTCCTCCTCTTCTGTTTTGGGGGACGCCCCCTCAAGCTCCACTGCTGCTGGCACTCTCCAGGCACCTCAGGATGCCCCAGCCACCACCAGTGCGGCAACAGGAGCTTCAGGTGAAAGTTCTGCTGTAAAAGCCAAAGGCCAGGTTCAGAAAAGTAAAAAATCCCCCCAGGCCTCAACTTCCACTGGTGCTGGCACTCTCCAGGCACCTCAGGGTGCCCTGGCCACCACCAGTGGTGCTGCAGCTGCCTCATGTGAAAGATCTTCTGTAAAAGCTAAAGGCCATGTTAGGAAATGTAAAAGTTCTTCCGGGGCCTCAACTTCCACTAAGAATGCTGGCCAAGATCTTATAAATCAAAAGGCAATTATGTTAGTAGAGTACCTGCTGCATCAATATAAAAAGAATGATCTCATTAAAAAGGAAGACATGCTGAAGATCATCCACAAGTGGTTCAGGAAGGACTTCCCTGAGATCCTCAGGAGAGCCTCTGAGCGCATGGATCGGTTCTTTGGCCTGCAAGTGAAAGAAGTGAAGCCCAACGGTAATTGCTACACCCTTGTCGACAGTGAAGATGAGAGTGTGAGCAGCGGCTTCAGATTTCCTAACAAAGGGATCCTGATGCCTCTCCTGGCTGTGATCTTCTTGAATGATAACCATGCCTCTGAGAAGGAGATCTGGGAATTCCTGGATGATTTGGGCATCTATGATGGAAAGATTCACTTCATTTTTGGGGAGCCCAGGAAGCTTATCACCCAAGATTTGGTGCAGGAAGAATACCTGGTGTACCAGCCTGTGCCCAACAGTGATCCTCCACGCTATGAGTTCCTGTGGGGTCCAAGAGCCCACGCTGAGACCAGCAAGATGAAAGTCCTCGAGTTTTTAGCCGATCTCAATGATACCCTGCCCACTGACTACTCACCCCATTATGAAGAGGCTTTGCAAGATGAGGAAGAGAGAAAGCAAGCCAGAGCCCAAGCCGCAACCAGGGATGCCACTCCTCCCAAGGCCAGTGGTGGCTCCAGTGTAAAGCCTAAGGTTCCTAAGGTTTGAGCTTGATAATATATCCAACTGTTGCCCACACTCTGAGTGAAATCGAGGTGGAGTCTTCAGTTTTTGTATGAAAGGCCTGTTAAGCAGTTTCCTAATATGCAAAATATCTTGTTGGCTTATCTTTGTTTGTTTTGGGGGTTTTTGCATTTTCAAGTGGTGTTCTTTTAGACAAGGTGTGGGGAACCTTTCTTCTGCCATGTGCAGTTTGGGTATTTAGAACATTATTCGTGAGTCATACAAAATTATCAACTTTAAAAATAGCCTGCTGGTTTTGGTGAAACATTTAACTAACTCACCGCTAATGCCTTGGCAGGACCAGGTCAAATCATTTTGAGAGCGTATGTGAACCACAGGCTGGAAGTTTTGTACCCCTGTTTTAGACAGAATGTTTATTTAGATCTAAAACATAAGAATAGAAGTTTATGAATGACACGGATTGCACATTTATTACTGTCTTTCTAGTTAGGAGTAAGAGTTTTGTTTTAAAAATAGAAATTGGAAATCCTTCAAAATGTTGTGTGATCCAGAACAGGATAGTATGGCTTTTGGATAGAAATATATGTTAATATGTGAACGAACTAACTGTACACTAAAATACGTGGGAGCAGTAGATAGATATATAGGAGGATAGATAAAGTAAAAATTGGCCACTTCTGTTTTAATTTGTCGTTAAATTACACTTGACAATAATATTATACTAGTGGCATATGTGCAGCATAGTGATTAGACATTTATATAACTTAAAAGTGTTTGCCTCTAAGTTTAGTACCCATCTGAACAGTAAGTCCTTAGTTCGTTATTGATTATATTACCTACTCTGCACCCAACATTACCTGTTACAGCCAAGACATGGAATTGTTCATCTGTAGACAAATAGATAAAAAAGTTGTGGGACATATATAAAACTAGTCACTTCTTGTTTGCCTTACTAGTCTTTCTTTTAAAAATTTTAAAAACATACACCTGGAGTTGCTTATGTTTTTCCATAATGTTTGAGAAAATAAATCCTAGTGGATCAGACCTCTTGTTTCATGCCTTTTATTTTACACATTTATTAATTGAGTATCAGCTCTTTGAAAGTCTTCATGTTCGCACTGGGGATGTTTCGGCAAAGAAGCCCCTGCCCATGCAATTATAGGTTATGGGAGAAGCTCTAATTACAAAAGAGAGTGATATATTCTTCACTTCATAAGGAACAAGTGTAAAGGGGAATAAGATGGGTGGAGATAGCATATTACTTACTGTTCATTGCTAAGCAGAATTTTGTCTTATTATATGTGTGTGTTTTTCTAGAACACTGCATACTTCCTGACATCTCTTATATGTAAAAAATACTCCAGCTAGATGGATGATAATATCCGAGGTCACAGATAATCATAGTAATAATTGCCTTTCCCTAATGTGAGTACGACAGGCACAGTGACAGTTGCTTTCTATCTGTTACATATATCCCGCCAGTCCTATAAGGCAGTGCTTGTCAGATTCACTGTACAGTGTAAAATTCAAGGCTCATAGGGTAATTCACTGGGCTCATAAAGGACAAAGCTGGAAATTGACTCCAAGTCTAAATTACAGTAAGCCCACACTGTTCTTCTCCCACCCTGAGACACACCCTGTGCCTCTTATTTCAATTTTCTTCTCATTACTTCAAAATCTGTTTGAAGTGATAAAAGGAATGGCCCTGTTCCCAAACTACTGGATTGGAAAACATAGCCAGAACAATAAGAACACCATTATAGTTAAGAGGTAGGGATAAATAATAAATGAAAGAGCCAGTGTTCTGTGGCAGTATGATTGTCTACATTTGAAATGTTAGATAACCTCAATAGGTCAGGGGCTCTCAAAATTATCCTGGACAGTCCCTTCCCTGTAGAAAGTAAACCTATCAGAACAGAAGTTACGTGAAAATCTTCATCTGGCAGATGACGAGAAAGAATAGTTCAATGCATTTTTTTTTCCCCAGACAAACCCACCACCTGCTCAGGAACTCCTGCCTTGTGCTACAGTTTTCTCCTGGACAGGGACCTATTCTCTGCAAGGTGGGTAAAGTGGAAACTGCTTCAGAGTTTGCAGAGATGTGGAATTTACCAGGAAGCCTGTAATCCAAGAGATAGGAACCAAGATGAGGGCCCCACATAGGGGGACAGGGGAGACCAACACCCCAGAATAGAGGAGATCACAGGGACACCGGTCCCATGTGCTCTCAAACACAGAGAGCCTCAGAAACAACTGTCAGGCTGAACATACCCCCCCCCCTCTGTATTCTGGCTTCTTAGGGGGATAAGAGCCTTGGTCTAAGAGCAGAGTTCTCAGGTCATTAAAGGAAGGAGTATCAGGTTCTCATACAAATGGCAGTGATAAACCTTAATGAGGATTATGGAAGGGCCCAGCCAGAGCAGTCGGATCCCATAGAGTCCCATCCCAGTGGTCAGCCCTGTGAGGTTCAGCCTTTGGCCTTGTCAGGTTGTTTGTGGCTAAAACTGACTTTCAAATCAGGCCCCTGGAAAGTGTTTTTCTGCAGGCTCAGTTCAGCAGAGAGTGGAATCCCAGGAAGGGGGCAGAGTCAAAGTAAACAACTTGAATGAATACAAAATAACCCACAATTGACAGGGCTGCAATTAATCCCTCCTCCACTGTTATCACTGGGAGGCACGGGCAAAAGCGGGCAGGCTCAAGTCCTCCTCGTATTTTGCCTGCAGGGTTTCAAGGAGATGAGAACAATGGTGTACAGACTGGATCATCAGCAGAGAGTGAAATCCCAGGCATGACAGTGTCATGGCAAAAATCCTGTGGAATTAGGCAACCAACTGCTCCATAGCAGGTATGTCTTTAGAATGTTCCTATCTGTAATTGGACCTGGAAGGTCAGAGGCGGAGCTTCCAGGTGAAGGTTTACCCTCATTTCTTAAAAGGGGGTGGTCTCAGGGACTTAACATCCTTGGACTAATGAGGGAGGCCCCATTCAGTAAAGGAAGGGTACCCCGTTTCTAGCAGGATTCAATATGATGACATGGAGTAAAAGTGGGTGTATCTCTCCCAGAAAGAAGGGGGCCACATAGAGCCCTGTACGTGTTGTCAGACTTGAGAACATATCACCTAGTCATGGTGGCATGATTTGTCAATACTCATTTTCTCCCAGAAGTCTCATGGAAGTGAGGAACTTCGCCAAAGTGGGCAGCCACAGATTCTCCCACAGATTATATATTATATCGTCTGATGAGGATGTATTACAAAATTATCCTTGCTAAGCAGCATTTTTGGTTATTGCAATTTCTGTGTTTTGGAGTTTGGTAATATGCTCAAGTTCACAAGACTAATAAGTGACAGGGCTGGGAGAAGGCTCCTGCCCTGAATTCCTCTAGAACCCAAACTGTTCACTCTATTCCTGTCTACCTAAAGCAGACTTAGTGTTCCTTAATATTCCAAAATGTACCTAAGGGAATAAAAGTAAGGACTCTGTGCCCAAAGTATTGGATTGGAATGCAGAACAAAAGCAACTAAGAACACCACAGGAAAGTGAAAGTTACGAATAAAGAGGAGAAACATATTCAGTGACAATGTAACCATTTCCATCTGCAGAGTCAGATAATTTCAAAATCAGGGATTCCCAGAGCCCTCCTGACAACTCCTGTCTGTTAGGAGCTAAATCAATTGTAACAGAAATCAGAAGGCTAACTCTGACTGTTGAAGGAGAAACCAGTGTCATTTTTCTCTAACAGCCCCTCCCTATGGTGTGCCCCCTGCCTTATGTTACAGTTTCCCTATCTCACAAGTCTGCCACATGAACCTGCAAGGTTTGCAGTAGGGACACTGCTCAAGAATTTGCAGGAATGTGGCATTTCCCAGGAATCTGTTCATCTAGGAGACAGGAGACAAAATGAGGATCCCTGTGAATGAGGACTGGAGAGACAATCACCCCCAAATGTAGGGGTCATTCAGAAACCTGCCCAAACCTGTTCTCAGACCTAGAATGCCCAGGCAAAGCATTCTGATTTCACACCCCTTCTTGTACTCATAATTCTCAGTGAGGTGAAGGTCTTGGCCTAAGGAGAGTGGCTTCAGTTTAGGAGAGGGTGGATCCTATATTGGACAGATACCAAGTTGAGGACGCTGAATGAGGGATGTGGGGACCGCTGACTCCAGAACAGTGCTGTTCCATAGAGACTCAGCCTTGCGGTCACCCTCTCAGGACCCAGACATCCCTGGCCTAATGTGGTTCACTCTTCCTTACATGTGGGAGGTCTCCACAAGAAATGGAACTTGACCTGAGTACAGTAACCTCGGGTCAGGGAGGGTGGAATCCCACAACTTGCCAGGAGCACAGTAAAGTCCCTGAGTGAGGAAAGAGGGGATCACTTGTCCCATACATGAGAGAGCTTTAGAAACTCCCACCACAATTCTTAACCGTGAGAAACCCCAGGGGGAAGTTAAAAGGCCGAGAAGCCTCCTCATTTCTGCCTGGTGATCTCAGGCAGGGAAGGGCTTTGTCTAACAGGATGGGGTCCCAGTTCTACAGAGAGAGGCTCACAGAATCCTGGTCCTGTTGTCAGGCTTGTGAAGGCAGATATCATAAGCAGTGTGCCCTGTCTACCTCACTGCCTTCTCAGGAGCGTGAGGGCTTTGTTTGGGGTCTGGCAGCCTCGAGTTAGTAGAGGTTCCCAGGCTCTGATAGAAACCAAGGTGCGGACCCTGAACAAAAAAAACCTGCGGACCACCGGGTCCCACAGAGTCCCGCCCCTGCCGTCAGCTGTTAGAGACCCTGGGTAGCCATAGCCGGATGGACTCGCCCAGACTTCTTCTTGGGCGTCAAGTAACTTAGACTGGCCGCCATTTTTTTTCCGTTGAGGTTGGACTCCTGCACTGGTCTGAAGTCTAAGGTCAGGATCTGAGTGTGGACTGCTGAGACCATGCCTGCTCCCATAACAAAAGCGACCCTACAAAGTCCCACGTCTGTAATCAGCAGTGGAAGGTCTCTAAGAGCTCTCTGGCTAAGGTCTGCCA